CGCTGAAAAGCCAGCATTGCATGTGGGATACCACAAAGGCTGCCAGAGCTCCCGCTTGGAGCCAAAGTTGAGGACTATGTACAGAGTGTGCATTGGATTGGGGGCTTCCTGAATACACAGAAGAAGTTTTTCAGCCAGCTAAAAGTATGTGCAGACGTGAGGGGGATTTTTTTTTTACAGGTACAAAAACTTTTATTGAGAATGCTCTATAGAACATAAAATAAATGCAGCATACAATATCCACAGATATGAACATCAGGAGTAACAAGAGTACGTCCAATACAAATATTATTTAAGAGTGGTAATAAAGGGAGGACATGGGAAATGAAAAGCAGGTTCCAAGAGAGGTTTAATGAGCTTTGATCAGTTACATAACAATGCCAAAAATTGTCTCCACAGAGAGACTACTGGACAAGACCCCCATTTCCCCACAAAAAGTGAAACCATTCTTTTTGCCTTAGAATATATACTTTAGGAGAAATGTATTGTATTTTCCTATGCAGGGTGACCGACGGGAGTCGGACGGATTTGAAAAAACAGTACTCCATAGATTTTCAACTCAAAATGTATTTATTTTTACAAAAACAGTGGTCAAGACATGCCATTTAAGTTAGTTCTTCAGTTATGAAAAATAATGTAATTTAGATGATGACCATTCTCTTGAATGCAGCTTTCAATCCTTCGCTTGAAACTGTCGATCAATTGGGCCAACAGCTGTTGATCAATCGTGAGCACTTCTTGTCAGATGGCATCCTTCAATTAATTCAAATTAAGGGGTTTATGAATGTACACACGGCTCTTCAGATACCTCCATAGGAAGAAATCACATGATGACAAATCAAGAGACCTTGGGGGCCATGACACATTGCCAAAATGTGAAATGAGGTGCCCAGGGAACATGTTTTGAAGAATTTTCATTGGTGCATTGGCAGTATGCCCTGTGGCACCATCCTGCCGAAATAGCCGTTGCTGTGATATACTGACCACTTCGAACAAAGCTGTCGTGAGCAAACTAACAATATTATAACATCCACTGCTTCATTGTGAATGAATTGGCATTCCAGTGGGGAATTGCTATACCTGTTCTAGAAATGTCCAACTCCTTTCGGTCATCCTGTATATTTTTCTTTGTTTTCTAAAAACATATATGAATTATAAATATAAAAAATAATAGATATTTAAGTCAAGCTCTGTGCTCTTTTGCAGGCTAATCTCAAAGACGAATAGCAGGTATGGATATTTTATACAAAGTTACATTGATCCAGCTTGGGCTAATGTAACTTTGTATAGAAAAAAAAAAATCTATACCTGTAATTCATCTTTAACTGCTTTGCTGGAAAAAAAAATGTTTTTTTATGGAGTTGAATAGCGGATGGTCAAGCTAAACACACACACTGAATGATGCATCACCCCTTCCTGCTCTGTTTGGCTACATTTGCATTCAGTTTAATTTAGAAAGGAATTTCTGTGCTTTCTTTAGAAAACACAGATTGCCCTGAAAAATCAGTGCACTAGGTGCTTTCTGTAGTAATTGTTTATTTTGTATTATTATTATTATTTATTACAGGTATTTATTTAGCCATGACAATTTATGCAGCACTTTACATGTGTTGGCGCTGATTTACTAACAGTGGAGAGTGCAAAATCTGGTGCTGTTGTGCATTGTAGCCAATCAAATTCAGCTTGTTCAATTATGCTTTCACAAAAAAAAAAAAACTGGAAGCTGATTGGTTTCTGTGCAGAGCTGCACTATATTTTACACTCTCCAGTTTTAGTAAATCAACCCCAATTCCAAAAAAGTTGGGACGCTGTGTAAAATCTACATAAAAACAGAATGCAATGTGTTGCAAATCTCCTAAAACCATATTTTATTCCCAATAGAACATAGAAAACGTATCAAATGTTTAAACTGTGAAAATGTACAATTGTAAGGGAAAAAAAGGTCATTTAAAAATTAATGGCAGCAACATCTCTCAAAAAAGTTGGGACAGGGCAACAAGAAGCTGGCAAAGTAAGTGGTGCCAACAAGGAAGAGCTGGACGAGCATTTTGTAACTAATTAGGTTAATTAGCAACAAGTAAGTAACATGACTGGGTATAAAAAGAGAATCTTAGAGAGTCAGAGTGTCTCAGAAGAAAAATTGGCAAATGTCAAACAATTTTAAAATAATGTTCTTTATTCTAAAATTGCAAAGACTTTAAATATATCATCATCTACAGTATATAATATAATCAAAAAATTCAGAGAATCTGGAGAAATTTCTTTGAGCAAGGGACAAGGCCAAAATCAATATTGATTGCCCGTGCTCTTCTGGCCCTAAGATGGCACTGCATTCAAAACAGGCATGATTCTCTGATGGAAATCACTGTTTGGATCAGAAATACTACCAGAAATCACCATCTGTGAACACAGTTTTCCATTCCATTCAAAAATGTAAGGTAAAGCTCTATCATGCAAAGAAGAAGTCTAATCTGAACATGATCCAGAAACACTGTTGTTTTCTCTAGGCCAAAGCGCATTTAAAATGGTCTAATACAAATCGGAAAACTGTTTTGGGGTCTGACAAATCGAAGTTCAACATTCTTTTTGGCAACTAGTTCTCTGGGTTAAAGAGATAAGGGACCTTCAGGTTTGTCATCAGCACTCAGTTCAAAAGCCTGCATCTCTGATGGTATAAGGGTGCATTAGTAGATATGGAATGGGTAGCTCGCAAACCAGGAAAGGCACCATCAATGCTGACAGATATATCCAGGTTTTAGAGCAGCATATGCTCCCATCCAGACAATGTCTTTTTCAGGGAAGGCCTTCCATATTTCAGCAGGACAATCTTAAACTGCACACTGTATCTATGACAATATAGCTTTGTAGTAGCAGAGTCCAGGGTGCTTAACTGGCCTGCCTGCAGTTCAGACTTTTTACCAATTGGAAATATTTATATATATCTTGAAACAAAAAATATGACAAAGAAGACCCAGGACTGTTGAACAGTTGGAATCCTATATCAGGCAAGAATGGGACAGCATTCATCTCCCAAAACTCCAGCAACTGGTCTCCTCAGTTCCCAAACATTTACACTGTTGTTAAAAGAAGAGGTGATTCCACCGTTATAAACATGAACGCATCCCAACATTTTTGAGACGTGTTGCTGCCAACAATTTCAGAATGATCTTTTTTTCCTTAAAGTAGTACATTTCTCAATAATAAGCATTTGATTTGTTTTTTTCTACTGGGGTTGTACATATATATATATATACCTGTGTATATACATATACATTTGTAATATATATATATATAAAACAAAATTGATTCTGGAGACCAGTTTGCCTATCCCTCCTTCTAACATTGTTACTAAGAGGGAAAGGGACCTTGAAGTTTCCGTATCCCAACGGGAGTGGGAATTGGTTCACCTTACAATTCATAAGGGAGAATATTTCTGTGCAGGAACATAATTACAAACTGTATTCACGTTGGTATAGAAACTCCTGCTCACCTTCACAAAATATTTCTGTCAGTCTCAGAAAAATGCTGGCTAACAGCCAATCACAGAAGTCACATGATTGGAATGCCTGCATCCGCCTCCCAGCATTTCAATTCACTTAAAGGGCCAGGAGGAAACAGCAAAGGGTTACAATAGAAATGAGAGGTAAAACATTTGTGTACACATATAAAAAAAAAAACATATAAAATATAAATACCTTTTTTCCCTTTTTAAAGTGATCACATACCCTCTGTGCTCAGCTGTCCAAGAAGCTCCAAGAGCTGGGAGAGGAGAAGCAACAGTACACTAAACTTCCTAGTGAATGGCTGTGCTGTGCTGTGCTGTGCAGGGCAGTGTGCAGGACAAGTTTGATCATTGGATCACAGGATCAGCTTCCAGCACAGCTAAAGAACTGACCGCACTGCGCTCTCCTGCCTAGTGTGTTCAGTTTTTAATATGAAAGCACAAGGACTGGCAGGAACACCAGGGATCTCACACAAAAGGACCTTGAAGTTTCCTTATCCCCACAGGAATGGGAATCGGTTTGCCTTACGATTCACAAGAGAGGATGTTTCTGTGCGGGAACATAATTACAAACTTTATTCACGTTGGTATAGAAACCCCTGCTCACCTTCACAAAATATTTCTGTCAGTCTCAGAAAAATGCTGGCTAACAGCCAATCACAGCGGTCACATGATTGGAATGCCTGCATCCGCCTCCCAGCATTTCAATTCACTTAAAGGGCCAGGAGGAAACAGCAAAGGGTTAAAATAGAAATGAGAGGTAAAACATTTGTGTACACATAAAAAAAAAACATTATAAATATCTTTTTTTCCCTTTTATAAGTGATCACATACCCTCTGTTCTCAGCTGCATAAGAAGCTCAGAATGCTGGGGGAGGAGAAGCAGCAGTACACTGAACTTCCTAGTGAATGGCTGTGCAGGGCAGTGTGCAGGACAAGTTTGATCATTGAAGGAGAACAGGATCAGCTTCCAGCACAGCTAAAGAACTGACCGCACTGTGCTCTCCTGCCTAGTGTGGTCAGTTTTTAACACGAAAGCAGAGGGACTGGCAGGAACACCAGGGATCTCACAAAAAGGGAACAATACAAGAACAGGATACTTTTTCATACTAGTATATGGTACAGCAGAGATGAGAACAAAATAAGTTCGATTGGCTGCACTTCAAACAATCCACTTTATTAAACCAAGATAAAACCAATACAGACAGTGGAAATACAGTGGGGGACTGGCAGGTAAAAGCGAATCACGCTAAAGACAGCACTTATTCATTACTCCTCAGGCACATATCAGGAATATGAAATGTTGGGCTTACACATTCTTTAATATAACCCGTCGCTATGGTAAGGTTATACTATTAAAAAATGTTGTTGAACTTTTAAAGTTTAATCTTTACAACTACAAATACAAGTACTGTATGTAGCATTTTTACAGATTATTATTAGTGAAAAATCCAAGGCTTCAATGGGGGCCATGATTTTCAGAATGTACTTTCAATAAATCTATGGATGGCCCAGGGGCGGACTGACAACTCATGGGGCCACCGTGCAATAGGGGATCATGGGGCCCCTATGTCATTGCCCAAACTCAAAAAAGCCTATGAAAAAGGTACCAGGGGCATCTCATGGGGCCCCCTACTGACCCCGGGCCCTCGGGCAGTGCCCGAGTTTCCAAATGGTCAGTCCGCCCCTGGGATGGCCATTAATACAAAGGATGAAATACAATCAAATTAAAATTTTCTGCCTGTAGTTCAAATAATCCTTATCCACATGGAAGAGAGAACTTTCTTGCTGCTGTTTTGTGTGTGGGCGGGGAGGATGCCATCTCCTTCCAGGAACTGTGACCTGGATACAAAAAGGCATAATAGGGCCAAAAGGAACGTCAGCATCCTATTTATCCTTTTACATATAACCAATGGCCCTGGCTAGTTTAGGAATTGGTCATTATATTAGCAGGTAAAATATGTAGGATGCGTTGTTTTACTAGCAATTGCTCGCAATTTTTTTTCTTTTAACACTGTTTTAGATTTGCCAGCATAAATTAAACTAAATTGGCATCTTATGATGTAACCAGCTTGACTCATACAAGCAGTGAAAAGTAAAATAAACATTTTCCCTGCCTCATGTTCAAAACTAAACAATCATTCTATTTTACTGTACTATACTGTACTGTTAGAGAGAGACAGCACGTAGACTGTACTAGTGGTGGGATTTAGCTCAGTAAGGGTAGGCTCAGATGTTACTTTCATTTTTTGTAGAGGCCATCTGGACACATGTATTAGACAGTACTGAAAATGGTATAATATTTTTACTTATGCCTTTAATTTCTTCTTTGTCAGTTTGTGTTAAATATGACTCGTGTGTCTCTCTCCATTGTTGGAAAATATTACTTTAGTCTGCATAGTCTCAAGTTCTATGTATGTACTGGATGATACTACAACCCATATCATCACAACAAAGTGTATAGTAAAATGAAATTGCCAGTAATACAAGTGTTGTGTTCCTCTCCTTGTATCCTATAATCCTGTCCACCCATATTTCCAGTACTGAGTAAACCAGCTGAGATTCAAGCAACAGCCTTTCTTTTGCTTCGGTGTTATTATTAGGGGTAAGGCTTGGGTTCCGCGCTACCATGGGTTCAAGAAGAAAATCTGCAATCATGGTGAATTTATGTGCAAACTCACCTTGAGGAGTTTTTAAACCATAACTTAACCCATGACTTTTGAACTATTACCATCCGGCTTAAAAGGACCATTAAGATGACTTATTGATCAGCCAGCCCCTAACTAATAAAGGGGAGCACAGGGCAGACTTTGAGGTCTATTGATAAAAAATATTAGCTGTATAAATGTCATAGTGTTTGCATAGCCATAGATTGCAAACAATCTCCACAATCCCTGAGTCTAATATGTTTATTTCCAATGATTGGCAGCTCCGTCTAGTGAGCATAATGTGGTATTTTCTTGAAATACCTCAATCAGGAAAATACTGCAATATGACCACTAGATGGGGCTGCCGATCATAGGAAATAAACATATTAGACACATTATGGAATTATTTGTGATGCCTGTGTGAACACTGTGGAATTTATACAGCTAATTTTCAAAAGTAGACCTCATAGTTTTAGTGTATTAGAAGCTGCTGTAGGAAAAGCTAAAAAAAACTATAAAGAGAGTTAGAAAACTGTTCCATCTTTTTTGTTTTTTCATATTATATAGGGCTTTTTGTTTTAATTTATTTTATAGTGATTTGAGGTGAGAGATCAATTTTAGCTGCTATCCAATCCATCGTAGAGTGTCGCTACAAGACTTCCTTTTAAAAAATATGGCTTTTGCTTCATATTTGGGTTTTTATTTACTTTAGAGATGTATTGGGGTTGATTTACTAAAGGCAAGTAAATGTGCAATTTGCTGGGAGCAGTTGCACACTACAAGGCAATTTGCTGAAGAGCTCAGTAAAATGAGGGGAAACTCTACTGACTTCCATCATCCAATCTTGCGTAAGCAAAAATGCTGTTTTTTTTTCCTGCATGCAATTGGGTATTCTTTGCAAAGTGAAGCTTCACTTATTTGTATAGCTCTGGAGCAAATTCCCATGCAGAATGAAACTGCAGAGTCTATTTTCCTTTAGTAAACCAACTCCATTGTTTTTTTATTGGTAGAGGCTATATTTTAACCACATCCCGACCGCCCTATAGGAGATATACTGCTACAGGGTGGTAGAGGTGCGCAAAATCATGTATATGTACGTGATTTTGTATCTCCGGGTAGGGGGCACGCATGAGCCGCACATGTACCCTACCTGCGCCGCCATTTGCGGCCGCAGCTGTCAATCACTGGGTCCCGGCCGGTGATTACCCACCAGCAACCGGTGATTACTGAGGATCTCCGACGGGGAGGATGGCTGCTTTGTTTAGTAACAATCCTCCTCCCTGTCAGCTCAGACACACTGCTCTGGATGGCTGTGCACAGCACAGCCATCAAGAGCAGTGTGCTTACAGTGAAACACCCCCCCCCCCCCCAGGTAAAACACTCCAAGCACACAATTAATCCTTTGATCGTCCCTCATGTTAACCCCAGTGTCATTAGTACAGTGATCAGTGCTTTTTTTTTAGCACTGATCACTGTATTGGTGTCACTGGGGATGTCAGTGACACCTAGTCAGTTCCCCCCAGTGTCAGAATGCCTGCTGCAGTCTCGCAGTCCCGCTATAAGTCGCTGATCGCCATCAATACTAGTAAGAAAAAAAAATCCCAGTAGCTATACCGCCATTTGTAAACGCTATAACTTTCACGTAAACCATTTAATTTACACGTATTGGGATATTTTTTAGCAATGACATGTAGCAGAATACATTTTGGCCTAAATTTATGATGAAATTAGATTTTTTCATTTTTTTTTTTACTGGACATGTTTAATAGCAAAATTAAATTGTTTTTGTTCTCAAAATTGTTGGTATTTTTTTTTATATAGTGCAAAAAATTAAAACCGCACAAGCAATCAAATACCACCGAAAGAAAGCTCAATTCGTGGGAAAAAAAGGGCGTAAATTTCATTTAGGTGCAGCATTGCATGACTGTGCAATTGTCAGTTAAAATAATGCAGCGCCGCAACGCAAAAAATGGCCTGGTCAGGAAGGGGGGTAAATCCTCAAGAGCGCAAGTGGTTAAGTTAAATTGTTTTTTGTTTTTGCCTCAAGGCCTCTCTCTTAGTGACTGGGGAAGATTTGTGGGGTTTTCCATTTCTTTTGTGTTTTTTCTATTTCTTTGTGAAGATGGCCTTTGTTTAAGTATGTGGTGCTCAAAGCAGGGCATTCACTTTTTACTGACCATCTGTTTTTAGAGCTGCATTTTGTGTGATCATGCAGTATATCAGCCATTCAGGGAGAGCCTTGTCATTTGATCAATCAATACAAGGTGTTCCCTGAATGACCAAAGTGAGGAGGCAGACAGATGATGTCACAAGCTTCGCCTCGGCCAGTCAGGAAATGCCTTGTCGTTATTGAAAAAATACAGGGTGCTCCCTGAATGGCTAATATTGCAACATGACTAAACAAAAGGCAGCTGCTAGAACAAATGGTCAGTAACTAGTGAATGCTTGTTTCTGGCTACACATGGGGAGTGTGTTGGAGTACGGATCCTTGTAAGCAGCACACTCTGCTGCACTGTATTACTGGATACAAAGTGGCTGGAAGATCCTGTCACTGTGAGTAGTCAATTGGACTATTTTATACCACACTACCTTTTTAAAGCCAAATTAAACATTTTACTTGAACCTCTTCACTGCCACGCCTTTCGAAAACAGCACCGGAGGTTTTCAGGGTGACAAGGCAGTTGTCAGGAATGGACTCAGCACTGGTGGTGGGACTCACCTGCCGTGTGGGCTGCAGTACCAGGGCTGACCAGCGGGTGCTCTCAGCAGCCAGAAGCTCAATCCTGCAGTCAGCCAACACCTGGGGCTGATTGCGGGAGGTGTATTTAAGGAATGACCATGCCTGTGATCAGGGCCTTGATGTATGTTTTCCCATGAGCCCCTGTATCTTGTGTTCCTGTTCCTCTGCCTGTCTGATTTGTTGCCGACCCTGCCTGATCCTGACCTCTGCTGACCGTCTCCTATTTAACCCGGCTTGTGACCCTGACCATTCTCTGCCCTGATCCTTTGTACTGCGCTGCCCGTGAGTTACTGAACCCAGCTTGTGACCCTGACCATTCTCTGCCTGCTCCTTCGGTACCTCGCTGCCCGCACGTTGCTGACCTGGCCCGTCTGACCACGCTAATTACTCTGCCATCCATCCATCCTGCACGGATCCAGCCATCCCTGCTCACACCTTCTGCCTCTTCACATCAGGCTTTCTATTTGCACATACCTCTGGCGGATCCCTCTACCACGAGCAGGTGTACTCAGGGGCCGCCACCTGGTTCCTGTCTGCTCCAAGTCTATCCCCACCTACAGGGGCCCTGGTGAATAAGCAGACTGGGACTTAGATTCCACGCTCTGGGGAATCCTGTCCTGAGAACTGCTAGAGGTACCACCAGACGGTCGTTACAGAACCCTACGGCCGGCCTGACCATTCCACCTCTCCAGACCTGACTACGCCTGTGTTCCTGCACGTACTAAGATTAGTGGAAGGTTGGTTTGTTCACTGTGCGTTATATATCTGGGTGGCTAATAATAATTATATTGTACCTGAAGTCTGCGTTTCCCTGTGTCAGTCCACACACCTCTGGTCATACCCAGATTCCTGACAGCAGTACAGAGCAGCCCTCCTGTACTGGGCCCAGGCCCCATTGGTTCAAAACAGGGGCTCGGGTACTGGGCAGGATGGACGGCTCTACTGTCTTAGTGTGGTTCTCCCTGCAGTGCTGCCAGCTTCTCCTCCTCTCTCAACACCGGCTGCTGCAGGCACACAATGGGATCAGTTTCAGGATGGAGTGGGGGGGGGGGCAGTAAAAATGTCCTGTTTACCATCCCCATCTTTCCTGAATGAGCACAGTGAGTGATTGGTACTGATCACTCCTGTGTCCATTCATTACTTTGTTTACTATACTTTGGTAAAGTCATATTCAAAAAAAGGTTTAAAACATTCTAAAAAATAATTAAAGAAAAATTAAGGGCTTGCTCTCCGAAGAGCGGTCAGTATTTGAATCACTCTTCAGAGAGCATTTGACAGGTGGTGAGAAGTTATACCACCTCTTCACCACTAGTGCGGGGCACTTGCAAAGCAACACTATTCACTTGAATGGGTCT